TTGTTTTCAGACGTTATCAGTTGTGAAAACAAAGTACAGCCAGCAATGTAAGAGACCTAATTTTATTTGTGCCAAATGCAATTTGATTCATATGTTTAAAGAAACGTTTATGCTCTGTGTAAGACTGCCACTGAATAAGGCCAGCCCAACCTTTCTGTGATTCTATTGTTCTGAAGACAGACACAAAGCTGTAGTACTGACAGACTGACTCACATGCACAACCAAAAGGTTCCTCATCATGGAAGTGGTTGGAAAACGTATTATCTCCTGCTTTAGTACTTTCACTCTGGGTTTCTTCAACAGCATGGCAGTGAAATAGCCATCTACATTACCTGGAGAGGAACAGGCAAATAAAAGGTCATGGACATCTGCCACAGGATAAAGTTAAAGCTCTTCCACAGATCTCATTATTATCATCTGGGAGAAAAATTCTAGCTTGCAAGATGTACAAAATGATTACTCAGAAGTTTCTTAACAGTGGTGTGAATTTGTTTTTAATACAAATGTTTAAGCAACTACCCATCTGTGGTGCTTTTTGGGATAATTTTGCTATAGTTTTTCAAAACGAGGGAAAAAAAAATATAAGTATATAAAAGACCATCGGTCAAGCAAACCTTTCACAGGAGTAATTTGCATCCAACTATATGGTGGTAGTAAAATACAGCAAGTAATTTAAATGTTTCCTTCGTCATCTTAGTCTTTTCAGTTGCTACAGGAGGTCAAAGCTTTTGGCAAGGAAGACAGAACAAAAATGTACTTGTTTTTTCCAGTTTCTGTCTTAAGAAATTGAGGTTTACTTCGTACCTGGAATAATGGTGTAACCGCCTGCTCTCCTCTGCAGAATACACAGATACGGTGGGATAACCTCCTGTAAAAACACGACATCTGGGCTGTATCTGAAATCAGCAAAACAAGTTTTGAAGTTAGCTGCTTCAAAAGGTAACATTATTACACTCTGATGTCAAACAGAACAGGGTCAGAGATTTCAGGTGCATTTTTTCCTTATCTTCCTAGATATCTTAAGATCCTCACTAATGATATATAGTAGCACATAGACGTAACACTGATGCTGAAGCAGAAAACAATGACTATTATGGGCGCAGTACCAACATGGCAATAAAATGCCCTACTTCCTTTAGACTTGAAAACATTTGCATAATTTTCAATTATTACATATGCAAGGAAATTTAACATCAACAGCTGAAAAGCAGCTTTGGATCATACTATGCCACAGATAAGATTTCTAGGAAATTCTACCCTCCATCTCATTCCTTTACAACAGATCCGTCTCAGCTAATCTGCCATTCGTCAATGCCAAGCTCCTTAGAGCTATGCCACCAGTAACAGCACATGTGGGGTAGGACTCCTGAAAGTCTCTTTTATAGCTGCCCTTTTTTGTTACACTGCTGAATAGACCTTCTGACAGACAGAGGACAAATTTCATAGAATCACAGAATGGTTTGGGTTGGAAGAGACCTCAAAGCCCACCCACCCCACCCTGTGCCCTGGGCAGGGCTGCCCCCCACCAGCTCAGCTGCCCAGGGCCCCATCCAGCCTGGCCTTGAGCCCCTCCAGGATGGGGCACCACAGCTTCTCCGGGCAGCTGTGCCAGCATCTCACCGCTCTCTAAGAATTTCTTCTTAACATCTAACTTAATCTCATTCTCTTTCAGTTTAAAGCCATTCCCCCTTGTCCAATCACTATTAGACTGTGTAAAAAGTCACCTTCTTGCTTATAAGTTCACTTCTACAGGGAAAAAAAAAAAAAACTCAACACATTATTAAAAATCAAGAAAAAAATCAATTTAGTTAAGAGTTTCTGCTGGGCTCAGAAGAACCAATTAACATTTGTTTAAATGTTAATTATTTTTAATTTACAATTTAATTTACACTGATAAATTACCATATTAAGACACACCAATTTATGTAATTATCAAATTAATCATAAGAGTATTAACAGGAAGCTTCAAATGGTACAACTATAAAAGTCAATCACAGATACTACTGCTTTCATATTAGCTTGCACATTATCATCCTTTATAGATAAATAACAGTACTGGCAAGGGATCCATTTTTCAAATAACAAATCAAACAAAGAATGCTGGTGGTCCTCCAAATGCTCCAGAATGAAGTTATTCATACCAGCAGACTGAAGCAAACAAGCTTCTTGCATTTTCACCCTCTTCTCCTGTACAGGATGGAAGTGTGAAGCATGCTCCTGACACAGGCATAAAACTTGATGTAAGCAATACTGTTCGTTACCAAAAGATTTTTAGTCACTGCAAAGTCTTTAACTTGAAATGCTGCACAAGCTCACACCTCCTCCAATCAGTCTTAAGATTTGTACGACGACTTCATTACTGCATCTAATTTGAAGATAATTTGGACATGAAGATTTTTTCATTATCTAAAATGAGAAGCTCACTTTAAGGTGGGTACATAACAATACAAAGACAAAGCCATGCTTACAGTGCCAGGTAAGAACAGACACCTCTAGCTCGCTCCTGCAGATTTCCCAGGTCCAGCCCATCAATGTTCCAGGTTATCAGTGAGAAGCTACTGTCATCATCTTGTTGCTTGGAGCCTGCACTGCTGCTGCTGGTATTACTTGCAGTTTCATCTGCTGTGAGGTCAATACTAAAGAGACATTGTTTGTCATCATGCATAATATTATTCTTACTGCATTTGCCTCTCTTATCTTCTAAAATACGTTTTACACCCATCACAATTTACAGACAACCATATAAAACTTTCCCAACAAGTAAATTAATGTGAAGTGATCTCTTATTGTAATTCAGAAGATCAGTAACTTTAATCACATGGAGCCTTTTCTTCCTCTTCCTTATAGATACAAAATAACATCTTCCATTCCAAATTAAAATTAACTGGATGGCAACCAACTCTATCCAATGCACCTGAGGAATTCATTTCTTTCACCGTGCCAGGGGCAGACTGTGCATGTAAAATCTGCAAACATTCTCCATCATACTAGAAACAAAGACTGCAGTCAAGCCCTTGTTTTTATGAGCCCATCCTCATAATGCAGCTGAGGTTTCTGAGCTCCCCTTGGGCAAGGGCAAACTCAAAAAAACCATGCAACAAGATAGTCATTTTCTTGGGGAATATTCACCCCAAATTGCACTTCAGAAAAGCACCATCAAAGTACAAGTGCCCAATCCAGTCACTGCCAGGGGTCTAAGTCTCTCAAGAGGACTCTACCAATGAAGCATGGCCCAAAGAAAATTCCTTTAGTAAAGTGAGAATGTAAAACAAATGATGTTCAATAGTATACCTAAGTCTGTTTCAGCTGCTGGGATACTGCAGTTTGATAATATCTATTCCCTGCTATTGTGCAGTCTAGAGAAGAGGAGGCTTGGGGCAGACCTTATCACTCTCTACCATGACCTGAAAGGAAGTTGTGGCAATGTGGGGGTCAGCCTCTTCTGCCAGGTAACAGTGATAGGATGAGAGTGATGGTCTCAAGTTGTGCCAGGGGAGGTTCAGGTAGGATATTAGGAAAATTTTCTTCTCTGAAATAGAGGTGAGGCAGTGGCACAGGCTGCCCAGGGAGGTGGTGAGGTCACCAACTCTTGAGGTGTTCAAAAACCGTGTGAATGTAGCTCTATGAAACATGATTAGTGGGCATGGTGGGGGTGGGATGATCTTAGAGATCTTTTCCAACCCAAAGCTTTTACGCTTCCTAGAACACCGTACTGTTTTCTTATGTCGTACTGAACTAATAGTACAAGATTACACTGCCACACAAGTCCCAGCCAACCGTGAGATGGGCAACCACAGAGCTGAGCAGCAGCTTGCTAAAGCATGCTGGGAAGCCAAACACTGTGCAGCAAAACATTAGCACATGGTTGCACTCTTCTCTCACCAGGAAGCCCACAGAGCCCTACCTGTACACCATGCTCAAAGCAGAAACCACAGTGCAAAGACAACAGGGGAGAAAAAAGAAAGTTTTCCACTCAGAGGGTGGTGACACACTGGAACAGGTTGCCCAAGGAGGTTGTGGATGCCCCATCCCTGGAGGCATTCAAGGATATGGCTCTGGGCAGCCTGGTCTGATGGTTGGCGACTCTGCACATAGCAGGGGGTTGAAACTAGATGATCACTGTGGCCCTTTTCAATCCAGGCCATTCTATAATCCTGTGAAAAGGTGTCTCCAGTTTGATGCAGTCATATTCTGACTCCATCTGTGGAATGATGCTTGGTAAGATTCTTTTTTTCATACAATTACATGAAAAAAGATATATGTTCTATAGAGCCATAGAATCACACACCCACTGACCACATCCCCCAGTGCCACATCCACACAGTTCTGAACACCCCCAGGGATGCTGGCCTTATCACCTCCCTAGGCAGCCTGTGCCACTGCCTCACTGCTCTTTTGGAGAAGAAATTCCCCCTAATATCCCACCTGAATGTCTCCGGGCACAGCTTGAGGCCTTTCCCTCTCATCCTATCACTGTCACCTGTGAGAAGAGGCCGACGTCACCTGGCTTTCGGGTCGAGCTGTTACCAAACACAGCTTGTTTTCAGCTATAAAGACCAGAGGGGCTCCTCCCCCTGTTCCCCGCCAAGGGCACTCACCAGCTGCCGGGCCCCGCCGAGCCCTCTCCTGCCGCCGCCTGCTCGTTCATCGGCGCCTCGAAGTAAGCGTCCAGCGCCCTCTGAAACACAGAGGCAGAGTGCAGAGGAATGGCGGCCTCTCCCTTCGCCCCCCGCCGCCGGCCCTACCTCCAGGTGCCAGCCGCTGCTCGCCAAGAAGCCGCTCGCCACTGCCTCGTCGCTGCTGGTGACGGCGGCGAACTCGGAGCATAGCACTTTCCTCCGCTTGGCGAGCCGCAGCTCCTCATCCTCCTCCCCACGCCCCGCCCGCGGGAAGCGTGGCTCGGCCCGCGCCTCCAGCTCCATGGCTCTGCGGGCGGGGCGGAAGCGGGGCTGAGCCGTTCCGGGCCGCGCCGCGTCATAAGGTGCCGTGACCGGACGCCGTGATCGGGCGCCGTGATCGGACGCAGTGACCGGGATGGGCAGCGTGCGCGCCACGGTGGAGAGCATGCGAGATGGCTTGAAGAACTTAGTGAAGACGCAGGACTTCGACAGGGTGCTTGGCAAGGTAGGGCGGGCTGACGAGTCCCTGCTCCCCTATTTCCCTGCTTGGCAAGGTAGGGCGGTGGGAAATAGGAATAGTGTGCGTAACGCTTCCTTCGTAATGCCGATGGCCAAGGTCGCTTTTAGGGTTATGAAGCGTTGAAATGTTGTTACTGCTCTCTGCTTAAAAATAAAAACGAGTGCCCATCATAACAGATACCTTGATGTTATGCTGAAAAAGCAAACGTGTCACGGGTCTGCGAGCTGCCAGCAAGGCTCAGTGTTAAGATGTGGTGGTCTGGTGCTGCTCTGCAGTCACAGAATTATAGAAGTGATATTACAGTAAGGTGATGCTACAGTACAATTAAAACATGGTTAAAATGGTGTTACTATGTCTATTACATATGGTAGTGCAGCTGATGTGTTCTCCCACAAAGCAGTTTCAGGGCCTTCATTACGTTTTGCAGAGCCAGGGTTCTGGTTCTGGTGTTATGTTGTCTGTGTGTGCGTGGAACCCTGCTGTGCAGAGATGAAGTGAATGCCTCTGAGCAAACAGCCCTACCAGAACCTTTGTTTTTTGAGTTGGAGGAGCAAAACTGAGAGCAGAAGCAGTATTTCCCTTGTCAGCTCCATCACTTGATGCTTAAAGAAAGTAACTGTTCTCAAAGGGGAAGGTCTAGACTGGATGTGAGGAAAAAGTTGTTTACAATAAGAGTGATGAGGCACTGGAGCAAGTTGCCCAAAAGGGCTGTAGATGCCCTGTCTCTGGAGACACTCAAGGTCAGGCTGGATGAGGCTCTGAGTAACTTCATCTAGCTGTAGGTGTCCCTGTTCATTGCATTTGAAGTTGGACTGAGTACTCAGTTACCACTTATCTTGCTATCATATCAGGGAGTTTAACTGGAATTGTGCGCTTATTGTGCTCATTATAACTAAGTGGTGGTGAAACTGGAGACATTTCAATCTTAAGAATAAAGAGAATAAGTCAGTCCAGTTGAAATTGTATGGAAACACTGAAATTAAAAAAAAAAAAGACAAAAAAAAAAAAAAAACAACAAAAAAAAAAAAAAACAAAAAAAACCACACCCACAATTCTTTGAGATAACAAATCAGAAAAAAATAGTAGGAATTACTGTTAATATTATGTCCATATTTCACTTGTGGCAGTCTAAATGTTCTTCAAAGTATTTGCTAAAGCATAAGTGTATATATATAGTACTTACCCCAGGTCTGCATCTGTCTTCAGAATTTGAATGTAGTGCTACTAAATGCAGAGACTAGAGTAAAATAATTTAAGCAATTGAAATGCAATAACATCTTGGTCTCAAAAATCCAGCTGCTTTTGTTGATTACATGGGGAAGTGTAGTTCCACAAATGCTCTGTGATTTTTTGTGTAACACCTTTCTATGTAACACCTATAGAAGTGGTACATAAATTATGGTGCTGTAGTACATTATGATTCAGCGTTGGATAATTGTGCCCAGGAATGCAAATTTCAGTTCATGTGGGCCGATGGGATTAGCTCAAAGTTTATGGAAACATCTAATGTGACAGTTAAATTACTATGTTTTATGTCTTTCCATCTGTTTCATGAGTCCAAAATACTCCTTTCAGCTTGATTCAGGGCAGCACCTGGAGTTGGTACTCTGTCAGTAAGCTCTTTATTCCATTTTTGGTTATACAGGTGAAACTTCTTTCTGCAAGTCCAGGAAAAGTTGTGTGTGAATTGAAAGTGGAGGAGGAACATACCAACAAACATGGCACGTTACATGGAGGTTTGACAGCCACGCTTGTGGATGTGATATCAACAGTTGCACTGATATACACAGAAAGAGGAGTGCCTGGGGTCAGTGTGGACATGAACATCACGTAGGTATCTTCCACTGTGCCTAGCAGAACTTACTAACTTTTCTGCCCTGACAAGGTATTGACTCTGTTATACTTCCCTTATGTGTTGTCTGTCTGCTTTAAAAAGGTGTCTGAAGTCTTGTTTTTAATAAACTAAGCTGTGGGTGGAGGGAAGCATATCTGAGGATATTGCCAGTTGGCTGCAAAATTTGAGTCAGTTTTTATGTATTGTGCATTGTTACCCATTCATTCGTAGAATGTTAAAGGGGTGCTACATGGTAAATTTTAGTGTTACACAATTGGCTTATTTCTTTGCTTGGGCAGATTTGTTAGTGTCCTCAAATAGCAAAATCTAGGCCAAAGAGCTTTCAATAAACCCTTTTTCAGCGTTAGTCCAAGATTAAATAAGGAAATATTTTAGCTCTGTGTTACACTCAGAGGATAAACTAAAAATTGAGTCAGAATTTCTCACTGACAGAAGATTCCTTTACTCTAGAGTGTTTGATTGAGAATAGTTCTTCCTGTAATGCAATTTTTAAATAGTACCTTCAAAAAAAAAAAAAAAAGTCTGAAACCTTTGATTGTGCTGTTACAGCTTGTCAGCTTTGCTTCATTACTTCCACCGAAGAGATTATGACTACTAAAGTAGTCCTACTTGAAATAACTAGTACTGAGCACTACAAATCTTGGAGAAATAACTCACAAAAAAAAAAAAAAGTAGGGAAGTATGTAGGGAGTGATCTGTATCTTTACCAGATGCTTTCCTTTCTCCCAGTGCCTTCTGATTTCCCACTGGTAATGTGGGACTGGAGCTTTCCACTGACACTGTGATGACCAGGGAATTTCTGGAAATAAAAACTTGAAATGCACATAAGATTAATTGCCTTGCAGCAGTGTAGTGAGAGACCAACATTTTAATTATTTATACCATCCTCATGGTGTAAATGCCTGCTCAATTTTAAAAAGCTAAAATCTCAATATTCTCTGGAGATGATCCAAAATAATCAAGTAGCATAGAGTTTAGGAAATATGAGGGTCAAAAAAACCTTTAAGTATTGCAGTGGAGTACTGCTTGCAATGACAGTTGATATTGGATATCAAATATATCTATAGTCCATTTTGTTTTCCTTTAGAGGAAGGATCTTTTTTAAAAGCTATCATGAAAAAGCTATTTCAGTAATGCAATGAACAGGGAGAAACAGAAGGCTTATTTATTTAACTCACAAGAGGATCAGCAGCCTCTGGGAGGCTGAGACCCTGCCCCCCTGAAAACTAATGTTGCTTGTGCAACAGCAGTATGAGACATGATCAACATGGTGTTGTGCATAAAAATGGTCTGGTTGATGAAGTTCTGCATCCAGCACTTACACAGTCTCCTATGCAAACATATGAGTAGCATTCCCTTACCTCAGGTCAGGGCTGGATCACATTCCTCCTGATTCTTTCCCAGCTTTCTGTGGTAAAACTTCTTAATTCCTGGACAGTGTGTTTTCAGAACACACCCACACACTTATGTAAATAAAACAAAAAGTCACGTAATTAATGGAAATGGAGTTAAACCAGGGAAGTCTTGAAAGCCTCCCAAATTTCTGTGGCTTTTCTCTGTCCAGGCTCTGAGAAGCAGTTAACCTGTGATTACGTTCTACACAGAAATGACTGAAATCCTGGATATGTTACTTGCAGAGATATTCTGCAGAAACCAGCCAGACTGGTTTAGAAAGGCCACAAGGAGCCTGTGGTGGCTAGAATAGGACTTGGAGGTGAGCTTGTATCAGATTTTCAGTACCTAATTCTTCCTGGTCCAAAAAGGACTTCTTGTGAGAACCATGTGAGGGGTTTCTTTCTATCCTCCATTTCTTCAGAGAATGTTGTACCAAACTACCACTGCAGTACTCTGGAGGAGTTCAAGGACTTGAAGCAGCAGGGATTTTCAAGCAGGCAGTTATAAGTATATGTGACTATTACTTGGTTTTGCTTAATTCCATTTATGATAATCTAAAATGAAGAAATAGCCTTGGATTTGTGCTTTGCACAGACCCTTACTTGTTTGTTTTGTTCTTTGTTTAAGATATACCTCAGCTGCTAAAATTGGAGAAGAAGTACTGATTACGGCTCAGATTTTGAAGCAAGGAAGAAATCTTGCATTTGCCAGTGTGGATCTAACAAATAAGGCAACAGGAAAGTTAATTGCACAAGGCAGACATACAAAGTATATGGGACAGTAATGCAACAGATTTCAAAAACAACAACATTGGGTTAAGAATCCCATCTAGAACAGTCTTTTCACACAATGACAATCTCCACACTTTTGATTGTATAACATGAATTGCTCTCTGTTCTGTGATAAATGAACCAATTTATTACCATCAAAATGGTTAAAAGCCTAAAATTATCGGGATGAAAAACAACACAATAACATAAGAAAGCATCTGTTTGGACTTTGAGGGTCAGTGTAACAAAGAAAAAGGTTTTGGAACAGCAGTATGGTTTACTAGCATGACAGTGTTAAAGGATCTGGTATTTGTTTTTGCTGTGATGTAGCCACGTGAGTAAGCAGTCCACCCTCCAGGCTTATGACTATTGCATTCACACACTACACTGTATGCTTACTAACTGTTCTGTAGGAGGATGGTGAAGGGTTCTTGTAAGCAACTAGTTTCATGTTATGGAAAGTGTGAAGCAAGATAATACAAAGCGTAATTCACTGCTACTGTAACACATTCAAATCTTTTCAATAAAGCTTTCTGAAACTACCTTTTTAAAGGCTTTTATCTCTTTGTTTTAAATAAAAGCTTGTTAGGACAGAGTGGCTGAGAGTGGGTGCAGTGGAACAGGCATACACCAGTTCACCAAAGAAATTTATTTTCTCATTGATTCTCTTTGTGAATGTTCAGCTTCAGTATGAGAGCTTTCCAACTCTTAACTAAAATTATGTCTATATTTGTTTCAAAAAATCAACAGATGAGACTCAGAAGTGTGTGAAAGGGATTTCTAAAAGTCTTGTGTCAGGCTCAAAATTGAAGGCTGTGACACATGTTGAATGTGACAGAGAATACTGTTTCATCAGCTAAGACTCATCTCCTCTTGCACTGCTGTTGACAGGTTTAACAGCTTTCCTTAAACAGCCTTGCAGAGGATCACCTGTCATCTACCACACTGCAAGAAAAAATAGCAGTGGCAAATGCACAGTGCAAGTTTTTATAAGCCATGCCCTTAGTTTTGCTCCAGTGGAAGATGTGAAATTAGCATACAGTGATAAAGTGCAAGCTCAGTCTTCGGTGATTTCAGCTTTGTGACTGAATATACATTCCATGCATTTCAAACTTTTTTGTGCATTCTCAGTGAATATATGGTATCACCTGTTCATGCAGACCAATTACCATCTGTTTTGATTATTATCAGAAGCAAGAGAGAGGGTTAAGAATGACAGAGGCAGTGAAGTTGAGTGCTAAAAGATTCAGACACACTTCAGTTAGCTGCATGCCTGAGCAACTCTGCAGTTGTGTAATTATCCCAGTGCAATTTAACACCTTTCCTCCATCAAAACTGGTTGCCTCAGTTAAATGGTCTCATTCTATCACGTAGTATTCATCATATCTACATAATCGCAATTGAAAAGTGTCTAGGCAAATTAGGAATAGCAAACTTCAACAAGTAAACAGTATCCTTGTGTTCCTATTCAAGCCTAGCAAGGACAGTTGCAAGCTGAGGGAAATCTTGAAATTACAAGTGAATTCTTTTCTCCCTTGTAACAAAACAGTCTGTCATAAGGTACACAGTATTTCAGTGCTGCCTAATTAATAAGAGGGACATCACTAACACACTGACCAGTTGTTTTAGAAGCAGTTCATTAAAATCATTTATTTAAGACATCCTTGTCTGTTAGCCCTCCATCAGCAACAGCGCTGATAATTTATTTCACAAAATAACAGAGTTTAAGGCCTTTGAAGGAATTGTTACCATTAAGATTGCTTACTTTGGGATAAGGCGTCAAACTTCGATTCTAAAGTGTTCTTTTGCTGCTTCTGCTCTAAACCTGCCTGTTAGAAAATCTGCATCTTATTCTAGCTAAGTCTGAAAGCAAAGAATGAGAAATAATTAGCATAATAATGATGAATAGCACGTGATTCCAGCTGGCATCAGAACAAGCAGATCTCCTGTGGGGTTGACCTGGTTCTATCACTGCAGATTTAGGCATCATCCCCTTACAAGCAAATAAAGTGACAAGCATCACAAGACGGTCTCATCGTATTTGTATAAGAAATCACATATCCAGTAACTGACACTGGTAACCATTGTACCTTACAGATGACACTGTCCATCCCGTACTGTGGAGTTCATTGGTGGTTTTTGTTCTCCAACACATCAAACACCTACACAATTTCCTACATGTCTAAAGATCTGTCCTTTCACAGGATCAAATTTTAAATAGTGGAATGACACATGGAACAGTTCATCTTTACCTTTGAAAGCAACTGCAGCTTCCTACTGTATGCAATATATTGGCCAGCTAACTGTTTCATGTTGGTTTCACATTATTACTGGCTGTTGCATCAATACATTCAGACTGACACCTGAATATTTGTGCCATGGTGGAACTCTGCATAACAGATCCCTTGGAAAAATAAGGAATCAACATAGAATCATTCCTCCCAGTATTTAAAACCAAGAGCCCAGATGCTAAGCAGAACAAAAACCAATTGCAGCCAAGGTGCTGTGAGGAGGGTTTTGTCATTAAGGATTCCAACTCTCGGTTAGAGGCAACTAGTCAGTGGTAAACTGAATAGAAGGGAGAATAAGGAAGTTAAACCTGTTTCAGCAGTACCCATCAGGACTCACTGCTGGTTTTTCAGTTGAAGCCACCTGCCACAAGGGGCTGAACACCTTCACCCAGGCTTCTCTTACCAATTTGAGTTAGTTGGTTTACAACTCTCAAACTGGCAAGCCACTTAAAGGAAACACGGGAAGGGGACGGAATTAGAATTAGGCTGTTAAGTAACTGTTCTGAACAGCAGCTAAATTCTGTTCTGCTGCATTGACTGGCTCTCAGCCACTGCCAGGAGATGTGTAAGAACTTCTGCTTGCATTTTACCATTAGCCATTTCACAACTCTGTTCTGTCTGCAGAAATCATCTGATCAGTAGAAACAGAAACCCCCAAACCTCTCTGTTACCTCACTCTCCATGTGTATGGAGAAGGAGGGGCTCTGATTCCTGTTTCATTCCTTAAGAGTTCAGGGACAACATGCTGAGTTACTGCCTTCATGATCTTGTAGTGCATTCACTGAATGACTGCCATTACTAAATCCCATGGGCCCAAGTAGCCACAGCTGTGGGACACTGCACTACATGCAGTTCTCATTTAATGACAGCAAGTTACCTGGAAGCTCTTACCAAAAGGAAAGCACTGGCTATCCTGAAAACTCCCCACTGCTGCTTGCTGAAACACTACTACCTGGGCTGTATCACTGCAGAAGGAGGCTGTATTTTTAACACTCTTCTCCTTAAAACAAACAGTAATTGCTCACATAGTTTTTCAGTAGCCCAGAAAAGCAGCTTGTAGAGCAGATGCCATAGGCTCAGCATGGCTTTAGCATACAGCAATTGTGCTCAAATTACAAGCCCTTCCCATATGTAAATACTCTTCAAGCAGAAAAACTAGGTCATAGATATCGTCAGCCCTAAAAAGCATTTCAGTCAGTCATGCAAAAATTACACTTGCCTATCACTTGCTCTGCAGGTTAACTGAAGCAAGCTGATTTCTCTATCCCCATGCATTATCTGTGAGGGACATTCTGTTTCACATATGCTGCAAGGAAAAAAAAAACAAACAAACAAAAAACACAAAGTAGACCCCCCCCCGAGGTGTAGATGGAACTGTAGCTTTCATAGTATTCTATTTGCCTCAAAACTTTAGCAGACAAGCTTTCTCATCTTTGTAAAATTTGATTATAGCTGTCTCTTATTACTTAATTCCAGAAAGCTTTCCCATAATCTGTAAGCTTATGCAGTTTCTGTACTTTCTGCTTTCCCTAACTGCAAAGCTGAAAACAGAAGCAGCTCTTCTAGTCTAATGCTAGAGAATAAGTAAATTTATGCCATGTCTGTGCTTACACACATGAAACGGGCAGTCTACAAATTCCTGACTTCAGTAACTTTCATACTACTGACACAGGAGCTTTAAAACAATCACAGGCAGGAACTTTAAAACAATGTTAAATTAAAAACAATGTTAAATTAATCTCCTAGCAGGGCATTCGAATAATCTCAGAGAATCTTTTGAGAAGCAAAAAACCCCAAAACAACTAAAAAGACCACTTTTCATGCAACCCTCAGAGTCAGACTTAATATGAAACAGATTTCATTAACTACACGTAACTTACTGACTCAGCAAATGACAAGCACAAGAAAACACTGTTCTCCTGGCAGCAAAACAGGAATAGGCAAGGAAACCTGTAGAGTCTACAAAAGGGGAGTGCTTACAATATGCAGTTCAGTTTGGTTTCTAAGCTGCAAGAGCACAAACTGAACACAAGCCCTCACAGCCTGGAAAGGCAACCATATTTTGGGATCACGATGCATCAAAAGCAACACGGTCAGAAAGGAGAGGAAGGTGATCCTGCCCCTCTACTCTGTTCTGGGAAGACCTCACCTGGAGCACTGCATCCAGATGTGAGTCCTCAGTACAGGAGAGACATGGAGGTGCCTTCATGTATTCACACACATCCCCACAGAAAAAAGTAATTAGGCTCACACAAACTACGCTTTGTAAGCACGAATACTGTGAGATAAACCTACATTCTGAAGAACCCTATCAAGTCATTATGACAGAGGGCCTGAAACCATAAGCAAGGTATTGATTTCATTGATTCCAAAGGTGCTTTTCTTTTGCTACAGAAGCTAACAGAATAATGCTGACATTAGAAGACCCATTAAGAGTACAGTAACATCAAGCTCGATCTTTTTCCTCTGAAGTCATCCTACAGGCAGAGGAAGTTGCCTTCTAAAGATGCCCAATGATATGAACTCCTATACAATGAGATTTCCATCCTCTTGAGTCCGTTGTTTCCCTTTATCTTGACTACTTACAGAAGGCAGAAGTGCATCAACTCCATCTGACAGCACAGCAAAAAATATATTTGTTAGCTGTGTGGAACACATCACTTACCAGAATCAGTATTACACATCCACATTCTTCTCCCACAAAAGCATAATTGCATTTAACTCTGGGATCATCATTACAAAGATGAAACAACCAGTGCATCTTCTGCAACCCATACAAGACTCTCAAAGCAACTAAACTGAATTCATTTCTCTATCTATGACAGAAGATTATAAATTAAGGATCATGCCAGGGTTGACACTGTACAAACTGTACACATTCAACTAGGCCAGCATTGAAAGTTTTTGTTGCTGTTGTTTTTTGAAGTTGTTTTAGTGACTTCTTGCATCAGGAACTTGAAGATGTTTGCTTCACTAGTCAAGGTAACTACACTCTTACAGGCATGAAGATGGCATAATTAGTTGGGAAACTAAGCACTACCTGCAGATACGTTGGTTGGCATTTTATACAGCAGAAATTGCAGTATGATTTCTTTGTGAGGCAGCTTTCAGGCAGTGTTTTTCTGGACTGTTCCAGTTTAACCTGTAGGATATTACGACCAAAGAACTAAAAATACCCATGTAGCATGCCAGTGATTCTGTGATTTCCAACAGCTGCTTTTCCATAGTCAACATTTTCCCTGTTTGCTAAA